TTCGTGAGGCAAACATGAGCGACGAGACTGCTGCGGCTCCTCCTGCAAAAGATCAGAGGGTTCGGCAATCAGTAAAATCACCCGGATGCAGACTAAGCGGAGCACGAGGTGCGAAGAGGCAAAAAAGGAAGAGTGGGGAAGCCCGCGAGGGAATAGAGTGTTGGATATACAAGCGTCGGCAAGGCATTCCCCTCCCACCACTCCAGCTCCATCCTCAAGCCCGACCCTCCCCACTAGCAAGCGCGGCCCCTGGCGATAGCCTACAGTACAGAGGGCTATGTTACGATGCTCTCCTGTGTTACGATGCTCTGAGCTCGATGTTGGACCAGTGCAGCGATGCCCGTCGAGCTGGCGTCACTGGCGAGCAAGATGCCGCTACATCGGCGTGCGCGCAGCACCGCAACGTGCGCCCCCACCGAGGACCATATGACACCAGATCACGGGCAACGATGTGCTAAATATTATCACCATCCTCCTGCCTCAAGCCGCTCCCCCATGCATCTTCGATGAGAGTCAGCGGCGAGCGAGGGGGGGAAGCGAGAAGGGGCGGGGGGCTCCTCAGAAGGCTCGGAAGTCCCCCCTGGCCTTCTGAGAAGTCTTCTCAGCCTTCCCCGAAGACGCACGACACTTCACAAGAAGGCGCGAGGGCTCCCGAGAAGCCCCGCCGCCTTCTGAGGAGGCCTCCTCTTCCTCCTCCTCATCCTCCTCCTCCTCCTCCTCCTCCTCCTCCTCCTCCTCCTCCTCCTCCTCCTCCTCCTCCTCCTCGCCCGCCGCCGAGAACGAGAGCCGGCGCGCCGAGGGAGGGCACCCCCAAAGTGCTCCGCGAGGGCCTCCCCGAGGAGCCCTGGCCGGCTCCGCCCCCCTACCTCGACGAGCGCGTTCCACGACTCGCAAAGTAGCTACTTGCAAATCGGGGATGGACAGACCCCCCTTTAGCAAAACGTGGTTTAGTGAAAACGACCTGAGGCCCAAACCTGGCGGGCGCAAGCCTGGAAAATAACGGCCACGGCGCCCTCTCGAAAACCGAAAACTGACAATTCACTAATCGACGTGTCACTGTTGGGGGTTCTGTCCACCCCCGAGCAAATTAGGAAACTGGAGCATATACGTTACCAGTGGCGGGCGGTTTTTCAGTCCCGGATTGTTTGAGGGTCAGGGAGGACGTCGGGGTGGTGTGGTGTGTACTTCTTTCTCCGCTTCCTGGGGAAACACCGAAAAGTGTATACACCAGGATCCCGTATACGCCAGGATCCGCTTCCAGTGCAAATTTCAGTGCAGGGCTGGCAAAAGCGTCGGTGTATATAGAGTTCGTTTCCCTACAAATGGCCTGGTTCCGCCGCGGGAGATCTACGATGAATTACATCCAGGGTAACACTGGTTTTTCGGGCGTTTGCGAGTAGGCACCTTGCGAGCAGTGGAACGCGCCGGGTGACACCCTACCGCGGCATATCCGAACCCTGCTGCCGGAAGGTCGGTGCAGGGCCAGCTCCAAGATGCTCTCAGAAGTCGTTACAGGCCGACGTGTTGCACAGCGTGCTGTGGGGATTCCTTTCCCGCCACACCTCCACCGCCGCTTCGACGGATGCTCCTCCCCCACCCAGAAGCTCAAAGATTAAGATGCCCTCAGAAACTGTTGCGAGCAGCTGCGCTGCATAGCATGCCGTCGGGATTTCCCCGCCACACTTCCACCACCACTTCTGAGCTCTGAGGAGGATGAATGTGGGGAGAAGGAGGAGGAGGAGGAAGAGGAGGATGAGGCGACCAATGCAACCCAAGACTCATCAGCGATGTTGCGAAAAATCCGATCTCCAACTTCCCTCTTCATAGGCTCTCATAACGATCTATCTTCACTGAGGGACAGCCCCGTTGAAGACAGCAGTCTGAGAATCTTAACCCGCGCCGAAGCACCACTCCTGGGACTTCAATGCCGCAAATCAACGTTACCGTTGCGACCTGACGATCCTAACTCGCGCCAGAACACCATTTCTGGGACGTCAACGTGACTGCCGCGCCCTGACATTCCAAATCGTACCAAAGCCCCATTCTGGGACGTCAACCATCCGCCACCGTGCATGCACGGAGTGGGCGTGTTAGAATGCGTTGTGTTGTCTGGTGGGAGGTGCTGTAGAAATTGAAGGGAAACTCCCCGGCTGGCACGCCCCCCTTGAAAACCGCAACTTTCGGAATGGTTGTTTGGCGGTCTTGTCGGCCTCTAGACGGCCAAGATGGCCTCCAAAAAGGCTTCCAAGACAGCCACGACGCCAACAAAACGGCTCAAGATGGCCCAAGACAGCTCAAGAGCTTCTCAAGAGAGCCTGAAGACGGCCCAAGAAGGCCTCAAGACGGCCCAAGAAGCCCCCAGGACGGCCCGAGAGAGCTCCAAGAGGCCATCCTGGGGAGCCCGAGGGGACCAAAACCCCATTGAGCTTCCTTACGTGTTTGAAAGATTTTGAAGTTCTCGCCTGTTCGGGTTTCCGACCACCCAAGACGGCACACGAGGCTTCCAAGAGGCCTTCAAGATAGCTGCAACACAGCCCAAGAGGCTCCCAAGAGGGCCCCAAGTCGGCCCAAGAGAACCCAATGATCGCCCGAGGGGCTCCCAAGAGGGCCACAAGACGGCAATGAAACGCTCCAAGAGAGCAACAAGACGGCCTAGAGAGGCCGCTTGGGCTGTCTTGGGCGGTCGGAAACTCCTCGGACTCCCCTGGAGGGACTCTTGGGTACCTCTTGGGCCGGCTTGGGGGCCTCTTGATTCTGGATTGAGGCCTTATTTGGAACCTCATGGCCTCCAGGACGGCTTTCAAGGCAGCCAAGATGACGCCAAGATGGCCCAAGATGGTCCATGACGGCTCCAGAGGCTCCCAAAACAGCTTCAAGACAGATCAAGAAGCCCCCAAGACGGCCCAAGAGATCTCCAAGAGAGCCCCTGGAGAGCCCGAGGAGACCAAAACCATGGTTTCCCTGAAGTGTTTGAAAAAAATGGAGGTTCTCACCTGTTCAGGTTTCCGGCCGGCCCAAGAGGCCCCCAAGAGTGCCCGAAGTCGGCCCAAGAGGACCCAAAGATCGCCCAAGGGACTCCCATGAGGGCCCCAAGACGGCCGTGAACCACTCCAAGAGGGCGCCAACTTGGCCTAGAGAGGCCCCCCAAGGCGGCCTCCATGTGCGTCAGACGGGCCAAGAGTCCCCTAAAATTCCCCAAGAGGTCCCAAGAGGCTCCCAAGAGGCCCCATGAGGCCCCCAAGAGGCCCCCAAGAATCGTTCAGGAAACTCCCAGGAGGCCCTCAGGAAAACCCAAGAAGGCCCCCAGAATCCTTTTCCTCCTCATCCTCATCTTCTCCCTCCCTCCTCCTCCTCATCCTCCTCCTCCCTCCCTCCCTCCCTCCTTCCCTCCGACCTTCCGTCCTTCCGTCCTTCCTTCCATCCTTGCTTCCTCCTCCCTCATTCTTATTAGCCGTTTCATTATGATTAGTAGCATTAGTCGTATTGTCAGTAGTGTTTTGTTCTTAGTCCGAGTATTATGCGTATTATTCGTATTCCTCCTCCTCCTCCTACACCACCTACTCCTCTTCATCCTCCCCCTCCTCCTCCTCTTCCTCCTCCTCATCCTCCACCACCTCCTCCTCCTCCCTATCGCGCGGACGAAGACGCGATCGAGATCACGACCCTGTTCAATTCAGACTACTCGTCAGAATCGCGCTGCTCCTACACTCAGCCTCATCCCTGCCGCGCTGCTGCACAGGCTCGGTGGTGGGGCTTGCCACAGGCAACTGGATAAGAATCCTTGAAGCTGCTATAAACTTTTAAAACGAGTGTGCGCGGCGCTACAGCGAGAGCTCACGCTATATATATAGATATATATATATATATATATATATATATATATATTATGATCCACCCGTGAAACTCTTGAAAACGTTTAGGCTAAATGTGCGCGGCGCTCAGGCGAGAGCCACATGTGTGCGGCGCGGCGCCCAAGGCGAGAACCGCCGCTCGAAAGAGAACCGTCCTCCATCCGTGAAACTCTTGCAAATTTTTGTTTCAATAAATGTGCGAGGCGCTAAGGCGATGACCACAGATTGAAAAAGAGCCGTCCTCCATCCGCGAAGCTCTTGCAGGTTGTGAAGACAACTGTGCGCGGAGCTGAAGCGAGAGCCACGGTTTGAACAAGAACCGCCCTCCATCCATGAAAATCTTGCTAACGTTGAAGGCGCACGTGCGCGGCGCTAAGGCGAGAGCCGCATATTGAAAACCGCCCGCCATCCATCCGTGAAACTCTTGCAAATGTCAAGCTTCAGGATCATCATTGGTGAAGACGTCTCAGGCGAAACGCTCAGCCCGCCCTACCGACCGGCCTCGGGGTACGATAGGGAGGAGTTGCTTATAAGGAAGAGGAGGAGGAGGAGGAGGAGGAGGAGGAGGAGGAGGAGGAGGAGGAGGAGGAGGAGAAGGAGGAGGAGGAGGAGGAGGAGAACGAGGAGGAGGAGGATTCCCCCCCCCCGAGGGCACCGATCCGCCCATGGACGACGCGTACACGGACGGCGCCGGGGCCGCCGACCCCGCCGCGCCTCCTGCCGCGGGGGGCGGGCGGGCCGGCCGTGGAGGAGACGACAGGGGCGCGCGAAACCAGAGGAGAGGAGGAGGAGGAGGAGGAGGAGGAGGAGGAGGAGGAGGAGGAGGAGGAGGAGGAGGAGGAGGAGCCGGAGGAGGAGCTGGAGGAGAAGGAGGAATTCGCTGGAATTCGCCGATGTCCACAGCGTGGGAACGGGGAGGAGCAGAAGGAGGAGGGGGGGAGGGCAGAGGAGGAGGAGGAGGAGGAGGAGGAGGGCAGAGCAGGAGGAGGGAGAACAGAGGAGGGGGGAGGACAGACGAGGGGCGCGCGAGATCGGGGAGGGGGAGGGCGAGGGCGCAGAGAAGGGGAAGGAGGATTGGACGCTCATGCGGTGGGTTCACGTCGCCATGATGTCGGCGTTGGCCTCTGACGCCGTGTGGACGATTCAACCTCGGATGATCGCGGCTTTCTGACAGCGCAGATCGCTCGATATCTTGCGATTCTGGGCCACTGGCGGCGTTCAACCTCGAACGCCTGCGGTGGGTGCGAACCTACCATAGGGGGAGAAAGAGAGGGAGAAAGTCCAGGGATTGCCCATCGAAGGGACATTCATCAACCCCCGAGGCGAGGATCCCTCCCCGCCTGGAAGGCCCGCGAAACGAGGGAGGGAGGAGGAGGAGGAGGAAAGAGGAGCAGGAGGGGGGAGGAGGGCAGAGGAGGAGGAGCAGAGACGGCATAGGAGGACAGGGAAGGCGGAAAGAGGAAGAGGACCAGGAGGAGGACGACGGTGGGGGTGATGAGGGACCGGAGGAGGATAGAGTAGGTGGAGGACGACAGAGCCCCTCCCTGGCCTTTGGAGACCGCTGTGGAACTCTGGAGGATTTTCTGGGGACCTCGCAAGGCTTCCAGACAGGGGGGGCATGACAGGAGGGAGAGGAATACAGAGGAGGACAAGGAAGGATCGAGGATGGAATTGTTTGCATTCTGGGACTCCTCGCCCCACGCCGCATTGCCCTCATCCTCCTCCTTCTCCTCCTCCTCCTGTCCCTCCTCCTCCTCTCCCTCCTCCTCTTCCTCCTCCTCCTCCTCCTCCTCCTCCTCCTCCTCCTCCTCCTCCTCCTCCCTCCTCCTCCTCCTCCTCCTCCTCCTCCTCCTCCTCATCATCATCATCAGCATCATCAGCATCATCAGCATCATCAGCATCATCAGCATCAGCATCAGCATCAGCATCAGCATCATCATCATCATCATCATCATCATCATCATCATCATCATCATCATCATCATCATCATCCTCATCATCATCATCTTCTTCTTCATCTTCATCTTCATCTTCATCTTCATCTTCATCTTCATCTTCATCATCATCATCATCATCATCATCATCATCATCATCATCATCATCATCATCATCTTCATCATCATCTTGATCTTCATCTTCATCTTCATCTTCATCTTCATCCTCCTCCTCCTCCTACTCCTCCTCCTCCTCCTCCTCCTCCTCTTCCTCCTCCTCCTCCTCCTACCCCATGCCCCTCCTCAATTCCCCTCCCCTCCCCCCTCTCTCTCCCTTCCCCCCACCTGCTCATCGTCGTCGTCCATCCGTTTTCCTTCTGGGTAACTCCTCGTCGGGCCACCAGCCGCGTCGGTAGGACGGTCTGGAAATTTCGCATGAGACCGCACCGCTGAAGGCCTTAAAGCTTAGAATCGTCGACAATTGCACGGATGAAGGGCCAGCGGGTTCCAATATGTCGCTCTGGCCGTGGCGCCGCGCACGCTCGTCTGAAAAGCGTGTACAGGGAGGCGCACGGAGAGGCCGGTGGTTTTCAAAACGCGGTTGCCACGATGACGAACTGAAAACAACTGCACGAAGGCTTCACGGATAAAACATGGGCAATCTTACCAAATGGGGCCATATCTGGACGCAGCCTCCATGCTTCGGGCAAGCGAATCGACCTTGCACAGCAAGTACATACACGGACAGAAGGGGGGCAGCCACTCTTGAGAGCGGGACTCCCGCTGGATACGCCTTCCAGCTCTTCTTCTTATCTGATTCGCATTGTCCATATAATTATGTTTATCATATTTCTTAATGTTATCATTTTTCCGCTTCGTAGTATTATTCTTACAATCACTATTAGTATTAGAAGTAATGGTATTATTACCAATAATATAGTTTGTGGCATTATTATGCTTACTAGTATTCGCAGTGCTTATATTAATAGTACTCTATAATCCTCCTATTAATGGAATTATTAACACCATGATTATTACTCATCCTCCTCCTCCCCCTTCTCCACCTCGTCCTCTTCCTCCTCCTTCTCCTCCTCCTCCTCCTCGTCCGCTTCCTCCTCTCCCCTCCTCCTCCTCCTCCTCCTCCTCCTCCTTCTCCTCCTCCTCCTCATCCTTCTCCTCCTCCTCCTCCTCCTCCTCCCCTCCTCCTCCTCCCCTCCTCATCCTCCTCCTCCTCCTCCTCCTCCTCCTCCTCCTCCTCAACCTCATCCTCCTCCTCCTCCTCCTCCTCCTCCTCCTCCTCCTCCCCTCCTCCTCCTCCTCCTCCTCCTCCCCTCCTCCTCCTCCTCCTCCTCCCCTCCTCCTCTCATCATCATCATCATCATCATCATCGTCATCATCATCAGCAGCATCAGCAGCATCACTCATCAGCATCAGCATCAGCATCAGCATCATCACCACCACCACCACCACCATCATCATCATCATCATCATCATCACATCATCATCAGCATCATCATCATCATCATCATCAGCAGCAGCAGCAGCATCAGCATCATCATCAGCAGCATCATCATTATCATCAGCAGCAGCATTATCGCCACAAACATCATCACCACCATTACCATCATCACCATCCTCATCGTCAGCATCATCATAATTATCATCGGCATCATCATCACCATCGTCATTGTAATCATCAGCATCAGCATCAGCATCGTCATCATCATCATCCTCATCTGCATCAGCATCAGAATCCTCATCAGCATCAGCAGCATCATCATCATCGTCATCATCGTCATCATCAGCAGCATTATCAGCAGCATCATCAGTAAAAGCATCATCATTTGCAGCAGCATCATCGCAGGCATTATCATCATCATCATCATCGTCGTCATCATCATCAGCATCATCATCATCATCAGCATCAGCATCATCATCAACATCATCAGAATCATCATCATGATCATCATCAGTATCCGCCTCATCATTATCATCAGCATCAGCATGATCATCAACATCATAATCATCATCGTCCTCATCATCATCATCATCATCAGCAGCATCATCAGCAGCAGCACCACCACAACGATCATCATCACCATCACCGGCACCACAATGATCACCATCATCATCGTCATCAGCATCATCACCACCATCAGCATCATCACCACCATCAGCATCATCAGCATCAGCATCATCAGCACCATCAGCATCATCAGCATCAGCATCATCATCAGCATCAGCATCGTCATCAGCATCATCAGCATCATCAGCAGCAGCACCACAACCACGATCATCATCACCATCATCAGTACCATCATCGTCAGCATCGGCATATTCACCCTCATCCTCATCATCAGCATCATCCTCATCCTCATCCTCAGCCTCATCCCCATCCTCATCCTCATCCTCATCCTCCTCATCCCCCTCCCCTTCCTTATAGATAACTCCTCCCTGTCGCACCCCACACGTGTATGTATGGCGGGCCGGGCGTTTCGCCTGAGACTTCCTCTCCATGTCATGATCCCGAAGCTTGAAATGTGCAACACTTTCATGGATGGAGGGCGGGCCGCTTTCAAAATACTGCTCTCGCCGTGGCGCTGCGCAGATTCGTCTTAGAAGTTTGCAACAGCTCCAGGATGGAGGGCGGGCCGCTTTCAAAACGTAGCTCTCATATTCGCTCCGCGCACAGTCGCTTACAAATTTGCAAAAGCTTCACACGGATACAGGGCGGGCCATTTCCCAAAATTTGGAAACATTCGTTTTACAAAAAAAACGCAACCGCTTCACGGGTGATGGTGGGCCGTTTCGAAATGTGGCTCTCACCTTAGCGCCGCGCACAGCCGTGTTCAAATGTTGCAACAGCTTCACTGATGGAGGGGGGGTTCCTTTTCAAGATGTTGCTCTCGCCTCAGCGCCGCGCACATTCGTCTTGAATGTGTCCAAGAGTTTCACGAAGTCGCATCGTTGAAGTCCGAGAAATGGTGCTCTGGCACGACTTGGGACTGTCAGGACACAACAGACACTTTGAATTTGCGGTGTTGAAGTCTCAGGAACGGTGTTCTGGGACGATTCAAGATTATCAGACGTATGTTTGTTCATGGAACATTTCCCGCAATAAGAAGAGCTTGTAGGGACCTATGAAGAGGGACCTTGGAGGGAGGGTTTATTGCATTGTCGTTGATGCATCTTGAGTTTGTACTGGTCCTCCTCATACTCCTCTTCCTCCTCCTCCTCCTCCTCCTCCTCCTCCCCCTCATCCTCCTCCTCCTCCTCCTCCTCCTCCTCCTCCTCCTCCTCCTCCTCCTCTTCCTCCCCCTCCTCCTCCTCCTCCTCCTCCTCCTCCTCCTCCTCCTCCTCCGCCTCCGCCTCCGCCCCCGCCTCCGCCTCCAACTCCACCTCCTCTGCCTCCTCCGCCTCCGCCTCCTTTCTCCTCCGTATCCCCCCCCAAGTGGTGTGAGGCGTCTAGGGTGCCGCAGCCGCGGTGGGCCTCTCCCTTCAGGCCAGGGCGCCCCGATGACCAAAGCGGCTGGCCGCGAACCACTCCCCTGAGAGAGCACCCCTGTCAACTCCTTCGAGGGCAACTCATGGGAGCCTCCCATTCCATCTTGCTGGCTCGTGCGAATCGACGCGGGTCCACGCTGGTCGATGCTAAATCGACGCGAATCGACGCTGGTCGACGCGAATCGACGCCAAATCGGGGCTGTCTCGCCGATTACCCGACGCCAGCCGACGATCATGCGCCTTAAAAACGGAATTACGAGGGCCCACAAGGCACAAGGTTCCCATGATTTGCTGCCGAACCGCCCCTTCGCCCGCGGGAGGGGCTGAAGGGGGCGGGGCTCCCTCGATGAGCGGCTGCCGGAAGCACGTCATGCCAACGCCCGGCTTCCTGTCGAAGACCCAGCCTGCCGGGCGAAAGAGGACGACGACGAAAAGAACGAGGAGAACGAGGAGATCGATGAGCAGGAAGTGCAGGGAGCCTAAAATCCACCCTCGTAATAATCACCCCAACAAGCGAAGACGTGTAGCAAACGTACCCAAGGAAGGAAGGAACCGAACAGGGAAGGCCTGTTTAGGAAACGCCCAGGGTCGTTTAGTGAACGCCAACTGTCAGGGGCGGGGTGGATTTTCCTTCCTCGGCAGAGAACATGGACATGAAAATTGGGAACGTAAAATTCGCGAAGCGAAACCTCCCTGGAAAGAGGGTCACCA